CCTGTTTTGTAGCAGGTTTCCTATGAGACGGGTGAGATGGTAGTCCTTTGTGTTGAGAGAAGCCTCCTCGCAGGGGGACATGAGAAAAGCCTCCTCGCAGGATTGCAAGACATCCGGGCGTCCCCTGGGCAACGTCTTCGTAGACGGCTGATTCTCTCGATCCAGAAGCAACCAGAGATGACTTGCAGCATGCAAACAAGCAAGCAAAACAACCAACGGACCTTTCAGGACCAACCATGACAATAATCTCAATCAACATTGAAGGCATGTCAGCTGCCAAAGAACAACTGTTTTATGAACTGTGCCGAGATAAGAAATGTGACGTGCTGTGTGTCCAAGAAACACACAGGGATGAACAACAGAAACGACCCAAAGTCCCAGGAATGATCCTAGTAGCGGAAAGACCACATGGGCAGTATGGAAGCGCTGTCTTTGTCAAACCAGGCCTCCAAGTCAGCAGTGCCCACAATACTGAAGAAAACAATATCGAGGTTCTAACAGTAGAGCTTAATAACATCACCATCACCTCTGTGTACAAGCCCCCAAATGAAGAGTTCTGCTTCTCCTCTCCCGAGAACTTTGACAGGCACCAAAGGGCGGTAGTAATTGGTTACTTCAACAGCCATAGCCATGTATGGGGTTATGCCCAAGAGGACAGAAATGGAGAGGATGTCCTCTCCTGGTCTGAACTGCACAAACTATCACTCATCCATGATAGCAAGCTCCCACCATCCTACAACAGCAGGAGATGGCACCGAGGTTATAACCCAGACCTCTTATTTGTGAGCGACAGCATTGTACAGCAATGCACTAAATCAGTGGGACCACCAATCCCAAACACACAGCACCGACCAATAATATGCCAACTGTTCCCAACAATAAGGCCTCAGGAAGTTCGATTTAAACGAAGATACAACTTCAGAAAGGCAGATTGGACCAAATTCTCAGACATGTTAGATGACATGATCACATCGGTCGCGCCAATCCCTGAGGAATACGAGCATTTTATTGAAATCGTGAAAACCTGCTCACGGGCCTCCATACCGAGAGGCTGCAGAACCAACTACTTTCAGGACATTACTCCTGAAACAGCTGCTGCGAAGCCGCGTCCCCACCGCTCGTTACTACAATTCGAAGCTGTTCACTTGCTGCCACCAAAATATGTGAAGTAGTCTCCAAAAATAAAATAATGGCGTGAAATCCCAACTAAATAGGATCACCACACAAATGTAATGAGAATTTGAGACTTCTAGGTTAAGCTGCCACCCTAATATAAAGAGATATTGGTAATATAATCTCTGTTTCTTCTTATCTGGGTTGTGAGGCCACTTTGGTAGTGTGGATTGTGCAAAACGTTGAAATCAATGGATGAGGCAGGTTTTAAAACACAAAGAGAACAGATTTATTGTCGGAGCGTAACTGTTGCAATATTAACTGCTGAACTTGGCACAAGCTTGATGGTTACAAATATGGCTTAGTTGAGATACATTCAGGTGATGTTACAATTCTTTGACTTCTTCTACACTGAGGTGCTTTAATATTTCAGTTCCCTATTGTGAATATTTACAACTGTTTGTCCTACACAGGATCAAACTAGCGATCTCCAGCCATTCACCACTGGGATCCCTAAACCTCTTTCTTGTTAGATTCTTTCTTTACTCAAG